TATATTAGTCACACCTCTTTACAATCACAGTTTTTTGTATCCCAAAGGTGTGATTATAGAGGGGTTTGACTGTATTATTAAATAAAATATGCCATGTAAATAAAAATTTTTATAAATTAAAATAAGATATGTATTTAAAATAATTATAATAAATACTTTATAAGTATTCTTGGTATTTATAAAGTATAGTCAATCTTCTCTAAATGCAATTCATACAGACATTATATAAATTTTAAAAAACTTGCATTTAGGAAGATAAAAATCTATAATTATATATATAATAAAATCATTGAAAGGCTGTGTATTTATAGAGGATTTTTATAGAATATGCATTTAGAAAGATTGCATTTATAGAGATCTGATTGTAAATTAAATAAATACAATTAAATACTAAACTAATGCAAGTAAAATAAAATTATATAATAAATTTTTATAAGCCTGTATAATTTATTATAAATAATTTAATTAATAAATCTTCTTTATATTTACAAACTAAATTAATATAAATAAAGTTAGATAATAAGTGTTTATAAGTTTAAACAGTTAATTTTAAATATTTAGATTAATAATATTCTTTACTAAGTACTGTACTAAATTATTGTTGCAGCTGATGCTGAAATTTGGATCTATTTTTATATGAAAATTTTAAATTTTTTGGTGGTTTGCCCACTTATTTTTTAGGATTAGATTAGAATTTAGAGTTAGAATTGATAATTAAAGTGTATATATAAATTTTAGCAGGGTTTATATTTTTAAATTAAGACTCCAAATATCAGCATCAGCATTTTTAGGGCTGACTAAAGCCAGGTACATCACGGAACTACCCGATATATAATCTGGATAAGTCTGAACAAAACAAAGTAAGATGACAAAACAAAATATGAAAATATAAAAAATGGCTATCTAAACCAGTTTTGGTTCACTAAGTAAAAGTGTTAGAAATGTGTTTTTAATATATGAACTGCTTAATTTAACCCCAACCCTAATATTAATCGATTTTAATTAAAAAATCAGAAAAATTAGATAATTTTGTAATGTATCTTGCTTCAGCCATCCCCTGTTTTCAGCATCAGCTGCGACAATTATTATAAACAAAATTAAATTTATTAGAAATGCAATCTCCCTAAATGCAAAATATGAAAAGCATCTCTAAATACATGTTTTCTCTTAGGCCCAACTAATATAACACTTATAGATTTTTACCTTCCTAAATGCAGTACCTCCCTAAATACACGTTTGACTCAATTTTGCATATTGTCCTGCTGCAATGTATTTAGAGAGGTCTGACTGTAGTCACAAATTAGAATAGTTTTAGATTAATAAATATTTCTTTATACCCATACTCTTAATTAATATAAATCATAAAATAATATAAATATTACTGACTAACATAGTATATGAAGTGTTCCGTAGTAAAAGGCCCCATTTTTACATATATCTCATTTTGAGATATTTGTTTTGATTTTCGGACTAATCAGCTTTCACAATTTTGATTGGTTAAAAGGTAACAAGTGACAATCAGGTAATCTCGTGATATGCTGGCCATAGGCAGCCTCGTGTAATTTTTCTTTTACATTATCTCGATTTTTTATTAAGCAAATCGACTTTCATTTATAATAGTCATGTCAAATATTACATGAATCTAATAAAAGCTCGTTTTTCGAAAAATTGTAAAAATGGGCCTTTTTAATACGGGACGCTCCATATATTTATAAACTTATTTAAAATAATAAATATCTCTAGCATTACTTTTGATATCTACAGTATATACACTGCATGTATACTAATAAAGTTCCTACATGAAATTTAATTGCAAATTTAATTGCAAATACATTATTACTATTTCTTTTCTTAAAGACTTAAAATTACAATGCTGAAATTAATGATTATATTCTAGCGTATTATCATTATAATATTCAAAGTTGCATAATTTCAACTAAATATAGATAGAATTTATAATTCATGCAAAAAACGATCTCAATAATTTTGTATTGAGCAATTTGCATGCACTTAAAGCTGGTTAGAGATTGAAGAACCATTTCTTTTTTAAAAAAAAATTGTAATAAAAAATTTATGTACTGTGACTATAGCATATCAATGTACAATAAATTGACTGTATTTGGATAAAAGAAGTTTATGCATGTTGCTAGACAAATAATTTAAATTTTATTGCAATTGTCAAGAACAAAAAATAAGATAAAAGTTCAAATATTATGAAATAGATGTTAATGTTCGTTGATATCAAAATCAACATCATTGTCAAGCAAGTTCTTATCCAAATTTTTAAGTGTTTCAATAGCTTTAAAATGACCCTTCTGAGCTGCCAACTTTAAGTACCTTAATCCCTTATTTTTGTCCACTTCTACTTGCGCCTTTCCATATAAATAGACATCACCTAAACTATATAACGCAGCAGAATTTCCACTCTCTGCTGCTTCACTCAAGTTATATAAAAATTCGGTTCTATGTCCTTCTGTTCTCGGTAATGATAAAGCATACCAAAATTGTGCATCCGGCACACCTTCTTCTGCAGCCTTTTTAAACAATTCACGAGCCTCAGATTTATCAATTTCCTTTTGTTCTTCTGACCTTTTTGCGCCATTTGGATAATATCCCTCCCATAAATAGTAAGCTTTCCAATAAATAGCGACGGGACTCTTAAATTTGGAATTATCATTGAAGCATTTCCACGCCTTTTCCCTATTCTCTGGAATCCTAGATCTATGAAGCTTGATTCCTTCTTCAATTGTTAAAATTTTATTGATGTTATCCTGAGAGTCTTCAGGTATGGATAAACTATTATTGGTTCGAGAGTCAGCAGGTATCAATGAAGGGGACTTCTTAACAATTGAAGATAATTCCGAAAGTTTTAAATATAATGCACTCATTCCAATCCTTTCTGATTCAGGTTTCCATGCTTTTAAAGAATAATTAATTTTAATAGTTAATATAATTTTAAATGACGTCACTGTGGCCTTGAAATTGGATGATTTGGAAATATAAACACAGCTGAAATATAATTTCTAACTCCCCCAAAAAAAGATTTTAGGAGAACTAAATTTCAGTACCAGCCAATTTCAATATCAATAATCAATAGTTTAGTATCATATTAATTACCGAGTTGAATTAAAGATTTAAATTCATTTTTAATAACTTTATTAGTACTGTCATTTGGATCAAGATCTGAGTCATTAAAAGCATCCAAACTTTCTCTTTGGCCGTTCGTAACATGTTCTACAATGTCTTTTATTTCCATATTGTCATAAGGAACTTTTTGGCAAGCTAGTTCCCATATGAGCATCCCAAAACTATATTCATATTTTATTAGCTAATACTATTAAAAAATTAACATTTTGAAAGTTGAAAATACATAATTACCTAAAAATTTCGCATTTTTGTGTATATGGAGGCTCTTTATTTTTATCATCAGAATTTGACTTATATTTCATTTTTTCAGGTGCTAACCAATTGATCGAATTTAAGTCAAAAAATGCATTAGAAGCAAGTCGATCTCTTTCTCTTGCAAAATCAAAATTAGTAAGTTTTGGTTCATAATGGGCTGTCATCTTTTGTAATTAACAAGTTAAGAGATTAATTAAGATATAGTAGAACAAATTTTTTGATAAACTTAATGACTTACCATCACATTTTCGCATCGAATATCATGATGAAAAATTCCAACATAGTTTATAAATGTTATTGCTTTACAAATGGCAAAAATTATTTGAGCTTTTAGTGGCCATGTAAGATTTTCATCACTTTGATATAATTCTTTCAAACTTCCTTTTTCAGCCCATTCAAAAACCATAACATTATTTGTTTGTTCCACAGCAATACCATAAAATTTCAAAACATTTGGGCAATCAATTAATTTTCTTTGGATTGCCAATCTACTATATAAATTCTTTACTTCTTCTTGATTTATTTGTTTAATTGGTTTACAAGCCACATCGATGGCCTCATTATAACGCATTTTAAAGACTTTTCTACGACATTCATTACCGTATGGTAGTTCTTGTAATAAGCCTGGTTTAATTACTCGTATATCTATTGGGTCATCCGAATCGATTCTCTTTTTGAGCTGATGAATTTCTTGGTAAACAATATTCGTTTGCTCTTTAGAATAACTGGCAAAACCCTCCAAAAACTACATTTCAAATAATAATAATATTATTATTATTAATTAAACATTTATTTGTTTTTTTTTTTTTTATCTATAAGCATATAATACAAATAAAGATAAATTATTAAATTATACCTTTCTTGTTTCTGCGATATCGTTTTTTAAAGATTCATTCTCAATTCTTTTTAGTTCATCAAAACCAATGATCATGGTAAACTTTAAACTGTTCAAACACGATTCATACTCTTCCATCAATTCCTTATAGGTCTTTTCTATAGAATGAGCGTGCATAATCTTTTCAAGTCCCCTTAACTGAGTCACTTGCTCAGTAAAGTCTTTTATCTTGTCTAACACATTTTTGAGTGTATGTAATGCTTCTTGATATTTTAAATCCGCCAATTTTTCGGCAAAATCTTCCTTTTTAAGTAATAAGAATTTTATGGCCGCTTCTACTGGTAATAAACGACCTAGAATAGTTCTCGAAATTTTTTTATTATATTGGGCTTGTTCATTTATTTGAGATATTTTATTCAAAATTTCAGAAATGGCACCGATTAAGGGATTGAGAGATGCCAATGAACCTCCAATTGTGATTCCTATATTAAGAACACCTGAAGCTAAGCTTAATTCAGATGATGACATATTATTAAATTTAGATACGTTTAACTGTTAAATATTCGTTTTTTATAAATTTCAGGAATAACTTTAAATTTACATGTACGTTAAGAAAAGGCCTTATTTAAACAAATTTAAATCCAAACATTTTTCCTTTTCTGACATTGTTTGTCCTTTGTGATACAAATAGTACAGTAATGTTCTTATGTGCGCGTAACGAAAATCATATCTATATATGCTACGTACGTACCTAAGTACATATTTATTAGTGTCTTTGTTTTTAGGCACTCATGCCAAACGATTTTAGTTTAATTGAAATGTACGTTGTCGACCCATTTCCAATACAAGATGTACGAACATACGTATGTATGCATTCTTATATATAGGTTAGCCAGACCTAACCTTGAATGCTAATGTACACGTAAGGAATTCCTGATGTAGTAAGATTTGTCACTTAAACAATAGTCGTGGATAATTAAGAGTTCGGTTTTTATGCTCATTTGTGCGGATGTCAAACTCCAACTTTCCAGATAGGCAGTATATTATTTCTATGCAGAAATTTTATAAATGGATTTCTAAATTAGTGAATTTTACGGAATAAATAGGATTTTTAAATCTTATTTTGATAATGTTGAATGAATATAAATCGGAAAAATAAAATAAGTTTTTCTGATTTTAATTTTGTTTTACAGCTATTTTCACAATTCCTGGAATATTTGATAAAAAATTGACCGAATGATGTTTCGGCCGATTCGATTAAGTTTATGAATTCAGCATAATAGATATAATAAGATTACAAAATTGTACAGTATGTATGCACTTACGTACGTACGTTGATGTAGTTTTCTTTGTTTTCTATATGTAGTTAGTATACGTGTTTGGAACCCAAGACTTGAGTTTCAAAACCAAGATCCAGGGTTCAAACCCAAGATCCGGGTTTCAACCCCAGATCCGAGTTTGAAACCGTTGCAATTCAAAATGTATAAATATGGCGATCTACTTAATGAAAAAAATCAGAACTCATTCTCACTTTGGCTTGACAATAATAAGTGACCCTTTTGCTTCGATCTTGGAAATGTCATATACAGTAATAAGTGCCTCAAGTAACAAGAAATACGCAACACGTGACGACCCACCTTGCAGCAGATACTATTCGAATACCAAGATTCGACGTATCGATATGTATGTTGTAAAAGTGCGGATTCGGGGTCACCGGTTCTCATAACCTAAATCACAACAAAGACTAGGCTACTCGAAAGAGGGCGTGGAAGGTTTGATCCGAGAACCAATATCCTATTGTCACTAGGATCCTCGGATTAGGTAGTCTTTATTATTATAATTTATTTGCTTATTATCTATCTGCTCCCGTTAAGTTACATGAAATCAATGAGCTTTTATACATTATGAACAACATTGGGGCTTTGCTACTACGATTAAGATTATTATAAGTAATATAGCTATTTAGAGTCGGGGAAGCTATGGCTAACGATAAGCAATTCATACTCATTTACATGACAATGACTTAGTTCCCACCATGTGAATACCAGCGACGTTCTCAATGGAGCATCACCTCAAGCAAAATCCGAATTAGCATTATTAAATGCCTTCGCTTTGTCGGTCAATCCGCATTTAGGGTCCCGAGTTATGTGGCTTGAATAACATTTTCATAATTGCAGCTAGGTCATATTACCCCGTTACAACGTACAATACGTATGTACGAACCTATTCTGGATCGACTGCATAACCTGCTCTAAGATAAACTATCATTCCAATTCGAGTACCGTGCAGCACCATTGTTGGATGATAACGAATACGATACGAGAAAAACACAGCCCTATGCTAAATTGGTGTCGAGAAATGAGAAGCTTTACCAGGCCACAACAACGTACTGTACGTATGTAACTTTTACAATGACTAGGGCACTGGCACATGATTATTGCACCTGCATTACGAAAGTTTTGCCAACCTGTGAATGTTTTGGCTGAGTGTACATTATTGGGCAGACGACAAAAAATTGACTATAAGTATGTTCAATAATGATGTTATCCGATAGTTAATATGACCATGTGAAGTTTTTTCTGTGATATTTTGCAAAACTGATTACGTAATTTCATGTACAGTAAATAATATCAAGGCAAAAAAATTCACATGATCATATGAAATGTCGGATAATGTTATTTACATGCAAAAATTACATATCAGAAACTTACACGTAAAAATTACGCAAATTTCTAATATCGGTATATATAAAAGGTAGATGCAGATAGTTTTAACATTGTAAACGTCGGAACGTTCAGTATTATTGAATTTTTATTTGAATATATACCCAACTTATTTAATGTGTTTGTGCGAAAACGTATTTATATATGTGTATATCAAATTACAATGTAAGTTATATACGTACCGATCATAATCATTATTATTATCATGCCAACATCAATAACTTAACCGGATTGACCGGTCAATTTTTAGGAATTATGAAAATAGTAATAGTTGTAACTAGAAAAATCTATTATCATTTTTTCCGATTTATTTAGATTTCACTTTCCAGGTGAATACTACAGTACAATGTGAATAACAAGCCACATTACCAGAGAGAAAAGCCACGTTTAACCAATAGAAAATCCACCACTTCGGAGTTCATATTTTCTACCAGAGTAATTTTATTAACCGAAATTGCTTTTATGCTTGTCGAAAAATTTCGACATTTACAGCTATTCTCATGAATTCTGGGGCAACGAAAATTTTTGATGACCGAATTCGATGGCTTCGGACGAACTCAGAAACTTATCGAATTCGGCTATCATAAATTTTTCAATTGTCCCAGAATTTATGAGAACAGCAGTAATATTTAGGCATGCCGAAATTTTGAAATCAAGCCGAAATTCTAAAATAATTCAAATTACAGCTATTCTCATGAATTCTGGGACAAAGATAAACCGATGATCATTCGCCGAATTCGATAAGTTTTTGAAGTTGGTGTTATTGACATTGTTGTAACTTTGGGGTATTATTATTATATCACTAATTTAGACATTTAGTCGTATAGATTTATATTTAGACATTTAGTCAAATTTAGAATTTTGACATTTCAACAAAAATAATGGTTTATCAAAATATATTTAGACACTTCTTGTCGAAATATTTAGACACTTAATTATCTAAATATCTGATTAAATAGGGCATTTCGATTATAAGCTTGCTATTTATGTTGATCAAACGGTAAATTATGCAGAAACCAATTCTAAAAGCACTTGCAGAGCCATCTACAATATTATTAATATCTTGTTTCGGTGATATTAGAATGCTTATTTTTATCAAGAGAAATTGTGAAGGTTTTATTTTATGAAGAAATTCACTTTCCTTTTTGTGACGTTTGTTTTATCTTTAAAACAAAATTCGAACCTACTTTATAAGGAATTCAGTATAAGGAATAATTAATTATAGAACTAAAAAAATAATGTCTCTGGTCATAATCTTGTTCAATCCGAGTTATGATATGTGTCGTAATAATCATCATTTATCTGTTAAAAATTTCATTTTACTAAAATTGACAGAAAACTTCGCTCGTATTTGAGTTCATAGATAGACATTCAAATAACTTAACCCTATAATAATAATATTCGCTTAAGTAACCTGTTCGACCTAGTTGAATCTATGGCTTATCAAAATGATGACATATACTGATCAGCTTGACTCGGGTAACAGCTCTAGTTTTAATTGGACTTTTATATTCCACAGGACAATGTATTATATAAATTAATTCTAGTCTTCAAATTGTCACCAGGTTAATGATGCCTAGACCTTATAGTTTCGTCAATTTTTCAATGGCGAAACTTACGGTTTCGTCAATTCGTAATGGCAAAAATAGTTTCATCAAGCATCTATACTCCAATTACAGCTAGAGATGTGATCCATTGTCCATTTTCTGGTCGTATTTCTAGATACAGGCGAATTTTAACTGAAACATTAGGGTTTCGGAATTAATGATTTTCAGATAAAATAAGTGACGTGTTTATGTCAAAACATGTGATCCATAAATCTTAATTTGTTTTATTGTGTAAACGTCTTTACATAATCGTTTACCGGTAGGTATTAACAACCCTAGCATAACAGGAGGAACCGTTGATACGTCACAAAATCGTTACACAATTGATAAAAATTTTTTTTATATTATTTTACAATAC